GGTTGTTATCAAACTAGTTCTTGGAAAGTTTGCATGAGCTTTATTTGTTTTGTTTCAGTTAAGCATTTTGGAGGAGAATTATAGAGAGGGGAACTATTCCAAAAAGTTGGTTATTAAACTTAATACATGAAAGAATATTTAAGAGACTTTTTAAGTTTTAGTTGACTATTTTTCTTTTACTTAATAAAGTTTTGGCTAACAGTATGGAAAAATCCACGTTATGGGGATTTTTTTTTTCAGAAGAATACTGTAGATTTCTTCCAATTATACAAATCGTTGCACTGGAAATATGATGAAACTTGACATTTATGTGTAGAACGCTAAGGGTCTTCAGTCAAATAGAGCTATGATAACATACACTGAAAATGACAGGTAATTTTGATGTTCTTATTGGACTTGAACCGTAGTTTGCTTATTGGTCAAAATTTTAATGGAATGGCTAGGACAATATTTGCTTAAAAACGTCACTATTCTGAGGCAAACTTTACTCTTTTCTTAGTTGCAGCTGGAAATAGATGTTGGTAAACGTATAGTTAAAGTCACTTGCACAAGGAATAAAATATTTGATTGCGTATTAAGTGAGTGTTTGAATAAGACTAACTTTAAAATATTCATTATCTATCTATCGCAGCTAGAACACTGTTGCAGACGGATATAGGTCAAATATACCCATTTTTTAAGGCGCGAGTTGGGATGTAGTTGCTAACGTATCTTCAACGTGTAATTTAGCAGCTACTGTACTTCTGGTTATTCCTCCTGTTTCTTCAGTTCCAGGCTTCATTATAAATTCTGCATTTGAAAAATGTGTGGTTCTGTGAATTCACTAGTTTAGCCGCATATTTTAATACACAGGGTCCTATAGTCTGAGTACTTTGCTTTTAAATATCAGATTCAAATACAGTTAATTTAAACTTTGCTTCCTGATTGTAATACTATGCCATCGTCAAAAGAGACTAATGAAACTAGTATGCAATATTTTGCACGAAAAGATCATTTAAAACATGTTTAGATAAATGTTGAGTGAATTGTTAAAAACCCACATGCAATCATTATGAAGTATATTTTAGATCATTATCAGAATCTATGTATTAAGAAAATATATTACATTAAAAGTACAAGAATGTTGATCTTTTTTCACTTCCGCGGATAGGCGTCAATACTTAAAAAGGCACCTCAAAATAAAGCGGGACGAATACCGAAAGCCCTTTTAGTAAATTCTATTTTACACCAGTCAGATTAGGCTTAGCATATCTGGTCAAATATTTTCCTTGTTGTTCCCTTCCCCCATCCAGTACTCAAATGAATAAATCAAAGAGACCCCAGTAGTAGTTAAAGCGCCCTCTGGTTACAAATTGTTTACTGATGGTCTTGGTCATAGGACAATATTTAAAAAAAAACAAGCTTACTTCTTACAATAACTGTTTATTATTTCACATGGTTTGGAATAGCGTGTTTTGGAGGAAAGAGTCTAAAAGAAATTCAGTATTTACTTTGCGTTAATTATTCATGGACGCAATTCTATTTTGCGTGCTAATGATACCACTTCCTATACTAAGGGGAGGTTTTTCATAATGTTTTGTCACACCCTTTTCATCTAATGGTCTAAAATTGCAATTTGAGGCCAATATCTATCTAAACATCTAGCTAGCTAGCTAGCTCTCAAGCTGCCTCCACCTCGAAAAGGGATACTTATATTTTACATCAAAACTGTATTTAAAGAGAAGGTAGTCACAAAAAAGACAGTAGCTATATAACTTGAAATGTTTAATATTACTGTCTGTCCTAAATCTACATTAAAAGACAGATCTCTACGTCTGTACCGTATTAAGGGCTACATAGACATTAGAAAGCACTAGAAGCGGTCTCACAGAGGTTAGTGATTAGGTAAATCCTTAAAAATTGTTCTGGTGTAATTTTTTTATACTGTATAGTAATCATAGGGGTCTATACTTCGGAAAGGGCTCATCAGAGTTATGTGCAAAATACATTGCTAATCAAAATTAGTAAAACGGCACACAAAAATATAAAATATATTCAGAAGATAGAAGGCCTTCAGACGGCTGGAATACAAATTAAATTGCAACCTCAATTTCAAAAAGGATAACCTGCTAAAACATCCCAAGGTTCATTTTGTCCCTTATAGCATGAAACAATTTCTAGTAAAGATAAAAATTGGTGAGCTAGTCATTTATCACCTTTCTTGGCGTAGACACGGTTTCTAAACCTCCTGATTGAAAGCCGCCTTCTTTGGATCAAATCCAGAAAGAAAAGTAAATCTGGCACACATACACGGTCCTGACAACTGACAGTTCTAATATGAAATAAGTATTCACTGACTGCATTAGTTTTTTGAGATTTATACAATGTAATCTACCTCTATATACTCATATAGGCGGCGTACACACGCCCATGACAAACTTCAGGAGGGTTTACATTTTAGTATATTGCAATTTGCCCACGTCAGAAACAAAAGCATATTTTAATTAGCATACAAAATAGCATCAGCCGATTAACAGTGTTGTACCTTTTGTTTTGTCTAGGAAATAAGAAAGAGATAAATCATTATTTAGCTTGATGCATTTTAAAATTTCGAACCAGAGTTTGCATGAGGGTGAGCTGTCCCTTTTAATTTATTTCTTTTAGTTTTTAATTTTTAGTCTAACCAATAAAAGAGTTTAACGACTCTATTAATACATCCATTACACTTTTCTTAGATTGGTAAAGTTTTATTTTGATCTTGTTGTCTGTGTATGCCATTAATTTAGATTCTCCACCAAATAACACTTTTACTTGCTTAGATGCTTTTTAAACTGTACTTGCTCATTTGTATTTACCTCCAGATGGTGTTGCTTATATAAGCAGAATTTAGAAGAAACTCTTTCTCGTCCCTTGGAATAGACAATATTATTCAAAATTTCTCTAAAGTCGGGGTTAATCTTCAAGAGACACATTGTTAAGTGTTTAAAATGTAGTAGCTACACACGCTGTATGCCAAATTAGTTTAGTTTATCCAAAATTGGCCATTATCTTTTATAGTTAAGAATCAAGTGAACATTATTAGTTTTACTTCACTGGGTTTGATGATGTTAGTTACTATTTGCCTTGGCCTTGTTAGCGATTAAAGAAAGCACAGATAATACACAGCCGAGTTGAGTTCATGATCTAGACTAAGTGCTTTGACCATCAAAGCAACACTGTTCATTACTATAAACAAAACAATAAAGGGCATAGATTTCTGTTTCCTGTTGCAAGTTATAGGTGAATACCTATCCTTTGGGTGAAAGTAATCAGCATTACTAATGCTAAAAATCAATCCCTCTGTGGCAGATCTTTTGCTACAAAGGATAAAAGAAAGTATTGAGTTAAAACCTGTTTTCTTTCTTTGATTAGTCTGTGTCCTGTATTTCATCTCCCTGATTTCTTTGCTTTAGCATTTTTTAAAAAGGCAAATCCAATTATTTTTATAAAATTTGCAATCGTTTTATTTAGGCTGACAAGGATTTTACATACTTTTTCTATGATCCTTTTTCACTTTAATACAAAAATAATTTTATTTTTAAAAACTAGCTGGTTATTTAAAAAAAACAGTTTTGGAAGGATTTCAAGCGTTACTCTTCTATTAGTATAGTTTCTAGATTTGCAATCCATTTCTATATAATTTGGCAAATACAGAATAAACACGCCGCAAGAGTAGACTTCCCCGGTGTAAATTTTATACCTGATTTGGGTAGAGAAATGTATTTGGAACGTGGAACTAAGGGTCACATTTCATTTTATTTAGATCTGTATTTATAACGCTAAGCCTATTGATAATAACCTTCTTGTATACTAGCCAATAAACTGGTTCCTTATATGGTATTAATTTTGTTAGCAGTGATATGGCCCTCACAGGAATCTGATAAGGGTTTGTCTATCACACATTAACACATTGTGGGGTAAGTCGAGTTTGGGAAATACACACAATATTACAGCAGGAAAAGAAAAAAGTAGAGGGATTCCGATAGGCTGTTTGATGTCCCCAGATCACTGCATTCGACCATTACGTCCTACTTGGCAGTCGTATGTAAGCAATGGTATAATGCTCATTAGATAACATTTGAAAAATAAGCAGCATTTCCATAAAGATTTTATGGGCACTGCAAAGTTGTAACAACCTCTACCAGCTCACAGCGTTTCCAGCTGACAGGGAAAGAACCTTGGGAGGGCCCCTTCAGCTTAATTTGCCCATGGAAACTAACATTTGTGTCCCGCTGTTTTCTGTACGTTTCAAAATAACTTGTCTAGGGGAATGTCAAAATGTGGAAAGAAATTTCCTCGTTGTAGGCAAACACTAAAATATTAAACCACGTGAGGCTCGACAGATCAATAGATCGAGGGGAAATGTACAGAGTACAGTTGACACTGTTATTCTTGTAATATTCTCCTAGATGCTTTGAACGCCAAGGGTATGCGCTGCAGGAGTGTATGGCTGAACGCCTGCCTGTTCTGACTGACACAGTCAAGCGTGGTCAGAAAGGAAGCCAAATGACCACTTTAACTGTTTCCTTGGCATTCTTATTGGTTACGGCTGGCTTTATGGCAGAGCTGGGTGCCAGAATGAGGCGAGCATTAAGATTTAATGAGCAATATTTATTTTTCAAACGGTTATTTGTACTCATCGGGAAGCCAAAGACAACCGATCTTTTGCTTCTAGGATCTGAGGATCAGCTTTGTGTTTTAAACAGAAGACCCATATACTAAGCGGGCATGTGTCACCGAATGCTTTAAAAATATTTAAAAATCCCACGCAGCCATAGACCCTGCACAAAAGACCATGTTTTCTCCAAGTCCGTTGTATGATTTTAAAATAGCATAAATGAGAGATGATATAAGTGAACCATCATCCAGCTATTTCATTACAAAGTCTATCCAACGCTCCGTCTGCATGCCTGTCTGCGCTCTGCCTAGGAGCTCCGCTACAATTACACATTGACTGTACAGCATTGTCTAATATCCCAGGATTAGTTGTTTTAGGATTTTACTCAGGAAATGGACGGTACATTTTAACAGATTCACAGTGAATGATTCAAATGAGAAAATGTAAAACATAAGTACCGATATATAAACACGTAGGGAGGGTGGTATCATGTGGGAATCCATTTTCACTGTTTAGATTTGGATTCTTTCTGTGACTTCTATCTTTTCATTTGAAACGTTAACCAGATTTAGGGACAAATCCAAGGTGAACCATAGTATTAGAAGATGCAATCACAATATTCTGCCACAATGGAATTAGTTATTAATTGATTCTTCAGTACTCTAGCCAACAACTATTCATCTCTAGTACATTTCAGACTAGTTTACAGTAATTCACATTTGGTGGTGATATTAGTCTGGGAATAGCTAATTTCTTAATAATTTAAGGCTACAGAAGCCAGAATCCTTTATAGCGTCAAATGGTGCGTGATAAATAATAACATTTTTTTTAAAAAGTAGGCAATCAAATAAAATGTCACAGACCCCAGCCGTAAAAACAGAGGATTCCTGGCTTTATTAATATCATCACAAACACATGCTGTGCAAGGAGGCGAGCACGCCTTACTTCCGGAAAGCACAACTGTAGGAAAAGAAGTGATAATAAAAGGTTTATTTATATCCCGCTTCATCCTAGGTAATAATAAACATCAGACTGCTCTGCTACTTTATAGCAGTGAATGTGATAATAGAAGAGTATAACGTATGCTAACACTAAAATAAGGTAGGAAATTGTTTTATACTTTTCAGTGTGCATCTGTATCTCCGCATACACGTATACCCTATATCTACCTATAGATATCGATATGGGTAGATTTAGGTGTGCGTCTATATGGAAATAGATATTACACATTAATATACATATATATTCTAAATACAGAGGTCGACCTGAGACCAGCTCTCTGCATACGAAACCAAACTGGGAGGGGTTGCTGGTAGGGCTTGGGTTTCCATTGGCTGTAAGCATTTGCCGTGGTGCGGGGGTATCTCTAATCATATTCAGCATGTTTTGCACAAGAAATGTCAGCCAGAAAGGGCTATCGGCTCCCTTCGCCAAATTATTCCACAACAATGTCATGCTCAGAGAGCCCGGCTGCAAACTCTTTTTTGGTAGACTCCTTGATCAGCTCAGGCAGAGGGGAAGGAGGAGGAGGAGGCGGAGGAGGAGGAGGCGGCGGCTACTATCCCAACAGTAGTGTCTTTTTGCCACAGGCATCCGATTTGTCGTATGGGTTGCAAAGCTGCGGACTTTTCCCAGTTTTGAGCAAACGCAATGAAGGTGCTGCTCAAAGCATGGTCCCCACTTCTCATCCCTACATGTCAGGGATGGAGGTCTGGCTAGAGCCCCCAAGATCCTGTCGCCTGGAAGAGCCTGAAACCCAGCAGGCTACCTCCTGCTCTTTTGCTCAAAACATTAAAGAGGAGAACTCTTACTGCCTCTATGATTCAGACAAATGTCCTAAAGGTGCAGCTGCCACAGATCTATCTACTTTTCCAAGGCTAAACGCTGAGGTCTGTCCCATGAACAACGCTAGTGGGGTTCCTGTCCCAGGCTACTTCCGCTTGTCTCAAGCTTATGGCACTTCCAAGAGCTACAATGCTGGGCAAGTTGTTGCTTCCCAGTTCACACCGCAGCCCCAAGTTCGTTTTGATGCGGCTCCATCTTTGCCTTCAGTCCCAACAGAAGCGGGGAGGACAGAGACCGAGGAGGCTTCCCCCAACACCTTGGCTTGCGTCTCCCAGAGGGAGGAAGACGCCCAGGCTTCGTCTTCGACCGCAGAAGAACTCTCCCCAGCTCCGTCAGAAAGCAGCAAACACTCTCCTGAGAAAGAACCCATAGGTAAGCAAATAAAAGCCGTGTGAGGATGATAGTTACATCACAAATGGAAAGGAGGATTCGAGCAGCCTGCAGAGCTGGCAAGAAGCGCCGCTCAGACTGACCTTCTGAACTTTTTAATATTTGGGCGTGGGGATGTAGTAAAAAATAATGTCCATCCTATAGTTTAAATGTTAAAGTCCCCGCTCTGGGCAAACCTTAACCTGCATGCGGTTTAAACATATAGAAAAACAGAGATCCATCTTCCCAGTTGATGTGAGGGTGCCTAAGAGATAACATAGATGTTTGTAAAGCATCCAAAATAAGCAATAGGCAGTGCCAATAAATAAACCCATTAACGGGGTAAGTTATATTTTACGATCCAGAATGCTTTTCAAAATAACTGGCGCGTTGAAATGTTCTTTCTATGAACTGCTATCAAATTAGACTGATGAATGCTCCACGAATATCCTTCAGTGTCTTCAATAGATAACAGGGCTGTTATTATTTATTATTGTGATCCCATAGGCAAAAATAAAACCCTAGTGGGCGATATTGTCAGACTTTTAAGTTGCTGATCATTTTACAATTGATTTTTTTAGATATAATACAGTTGCTCTATTAAACGAAAAAGGAAAACCAAAACCATCACCCACTCCACAAACAGACCAATATCTAAATAATAGCAACAAACACCTACAAAGGGACCTTAGTTTGTTTTTAAAACTGGGTAGAAGCTTCCTACTTAAGCGGGAAATAAGGCGAAATAGCTCATCTTGTCTTCCATCTGCAAAGCTCGCTTATAAAGTTTAAATCCGCAGTTTTTCCTGACGCAGTTTTGAAAAGAATAAACTGAACTGCAACACAAGGGTTGGGCGGGGGAGCCATTTAAAAAGCCACTTCCATTAAATTAACTGACCACTGACGTATCTCTACCACTGTAGGAGCCAACCATTCTTTTCATTAGGAAAATGGAAACACAGACGTTCAGTTTTAATGATCTCTCCGGGCTTTTGGGGGCTAGATTTTTAAAGGAAACGTCGACTACTCTAAACAAGAGGCTGAGGTGCCCGCAAGGACTCCCTAATTTAGAACTGTGACCAGGGGGCGCATCTTGAGGAACCCCTTTGCCTCTGTCATCTGGTAATGTCCCTTTTTTACTTTCTTAAAACTAGGCAATTCAAAAGGAGAAAATGCAGCAAACTGGCTAACCGCAAAAAGTGGCAGAAAGAAACGATGCCCCTATACCAAGCACCAAACTCTCGAGCTGGAAAAGGAGTTTCTATTCAATATGTACCTGACTCGTGAGCGTCGCCTAGAGATCAGCCGCACAGTCCACCTAACAGACAGACAAGTTAAAATCTGGTTTCAGAACCGCAGAATGAAACTGAAGAAAATGAACAGAGAGAATAGAATTCGGGAGCTCACAGCCAACTTTAATTTTTCTTGATAAACCTATAAGCACATTTTTTATGGTTTAAAGAGCCAGTATCATTTTCCTAGGCTTTAGTAATCTGCACCTGTATGGATTAAGGATTTTATACATTCTCAGTATGTCCATAACTTCTTTATAGCTATTTCTGGGGGGGAAAGCCATAATGATGCATAAAATTCCGTGTGTGCCGCCCTTGTTCCATTACAATTCCCTTGATGTTATTTGCTTCTTTAACTTTGAAACAGAGACATATGATTTCAAGAGCTGCAAATATATTTTTTTTCCTCTTGAAAAAGTAAGCAAACCCGGTTAAAGGCGCGTTACACTTTTAAACGATAAAAGGTATATGTGGACCGTGTGTAGCTTAATAATGAATAATTGAAGCCTTGCCATAGTTCTATGTAATGGGAGCTCAACTTTTCCCCCTCCAAATGGCAGGAGTTCCAATAATTAAATGCAGGCATGCTTTAAAAGAAGGGCTTCAGGGGAACTGGTGTTAGCCTCTGTTTTCTTTTCCTTTTCCTTTAACATAACAACCAATATCTGAAGCTTTAAAATTGGCCAGGAAAATGAAACCTTTTCTCTTTAAGGATATAAAAGATCTCGTGTTGCTTATGGACTAAATTATTACACTTACCTCTGAATTTCACCCACTCTGTCTGGTTGTAGATATTGACCATAATGTAGTTTTGCTTAAATATGTGGAATTAGTGGATTTTTGTCTATACATGACGTTACCGCTGGTAACGCATGACAAGCACACAACAATCCCCCCCTGTCTTGAGAAAAAAATAGACCCTTTTGCTAGCTAAGTTCATTGAACATCAGAAGGACTTGCTGAGCCAAAGAGCGAGGGAGAATGTGTCCGTCTATCCTTTATACTGTGAAGTTACATGCATAAAAAAGGTCAAACGTGTAGGTGCAAAAAGAAATAAAGAAGGGGAAAATATAAATACAGATATGTATAAATGTCTATTATTATAAAAATGACGATACTGGTTTAAGCAAATGCATTCTATCATTATTATAAATGTTAGTTCTAGCTCTATCTAGTACTTACCTTAAATCGGAATAAATTAATATTGTAATGCTGCTGTGCGTGAAAAGACGATGTTTATGTTCTCATAGAAGAATAAAAGACGTGGAATGAATCCTTTTAATTTTACCTCTTTTTGTGACTGTTTATCCTCAGGTTCTACTTTATGTCTTCAAGAACTTTTACAACAGGAATAGTTGCCTAAACACCCTGCAATTACTTTAGGAATCTATTTAAATATTACCTAGACGGTCGTAATTTGTCTGGGCCATATAGCAATGGTGCAGTAAGGTTTGTCGGCTTTTGTTCAGTTTTATGACTTGCTAGTATATCTGGATTGTTGCTGTCTTGGACGAGTGGTTTCAGTTGAGTGAGGAACTGCATAGACAGAGGAAGCAAATTACTATTTCTTGAGTGTAGCGTATTGATTTTTTTTGTTTGTTTGTTTGTTTTGGAAAAATAAAACACCTTGAAATATGCTGATGTTTTTGACTCCAAAGGATGGTGAAAAACCTAGCTTTAGCAGATGGCTCAGAAGAAAATCATAAAGGTGAGCACATGTAAATGAGGGTATTAAGGTCTTGTTCTCCTTATCAAACTGGTCCTAGCCACTTTTACACATCAGTATCCTCTGCCTTTCTACCTGTCTGCATGTTGTCAGGCTTATTTAATATGCTTTTTCTTTCCTTGCTGCATGTTTAAGTATTAAAGAGTTTTGCACTAGGGGGAAACAAAATATAGGGCCTGAATAACGGCTACAGCTAATTCTTTCTTTCGGGGGGAGGGGCGGCGGAGATAGACTTAACCCGGGCTTATGGCGAGTCTTTAGCTTTTTATGATGTACCATTACCGCGCACGGCTTTTCTTCACTTTTTCATGTGCATGGAGAATTAGAAGAAAAACTCACAAGAGAATATTCCCGCCCCCCCACACACATTTTAAAAAATCCTAGTCAGATTGGAGTCGGTGAGCGGTGTAGGCTGTGGGGGAGCGAGGGGAGGTGGAATGTTTTGGTCACATTTCTGGTTTTATTTTTATAGCGGGATCCTTGCGTAAGGAACACGGCTAAGGGGAGCGTAATAATTAGAGCGCTGAGAACTGTTCTGTAGTTTAGGTAGTTTCATGTTGTTGGGGCTCCACCTTTCTCTCTGCAGCACGAAACTGCCTTAATTACTTCAGTTGAAATCATCACCAGGTATGATAGTGCGAGTTGGTTTACTACCGAAGAAATCTTACAGCTGAAGCTATCTGTAGGCGTCAAGTCCCAATGCCATTGTTTCCTATCAGCAACGAAGGTTCATTCACTTCCCAATAAACGTTGCAGCCAAGGGGGAAATCTTGGGGAACTCTTCAAGGTTAGCTAGTTCTTGAGTAAGCCTGCTTGCTTATGGAATTTTTAAATATATCTTGTCGTCTCCATTCAAGGTCAGGTGCGCTTTACATTCTGCTCAGCAATTGTTCTGTTTTTGTTGTTGTTGTTGTTGTTTTTGCTGGATTTTTTAAATGCGTTACTATTCAATTGCGTGCCAATATTCATACACTCTGTCATCCTGAGTCCTTGCAATGTAGCGTCAATATAAGTAAGCAAAGGTAGCGACTGCAACCAGACCAGAGACGGAATCTCATTTTTTTGTTAAGATATTTTATGTCATTGTGTCACCTTTTTTTTGCCTGCACACTGTTGTGTTATTTCGTGTCCATCTCAGCCTTGAGTGTACCTAAAATCTAAGTCTGCTTCTACATATGTCCAGGGATTAATCATATATTACACAAAAGGACTTTACCGGAGGTGAAGGGGTAACCAGAAGTGATTTAAAATCGGCCAAAACTCATTTCCCTATAGCTCACAAGGCCTCGGTTACGATCATTATTACAGTGTGTCCAGGCGCCGACATTCCATTGAGGCTGAATGAGCAACAGCGACCTCACTGGGCCTTGTGCAGGGGATCTAGGGCTGCCGGCTATTGTGTACATAGACCAAACAGAAATAGGAGCTGCAGCCCTTGTTTAGATCACAGGCACAACATTTATCCTTAACGTACATGATCAAGATTTCTTCTGGCTGCAAGGACTTGGGAAGTATTTTAAAATTGAATATCATTTTTGATCTTTCGTTTTTAAACTTTTCAGGGCTCATATAGGCTACAGTGAATAAAAATAGTTTGGAAACGGGATTTTCACGGATTATGTAGATGTGTTATAATTAAATTCTCATAGGAAGGGATGCATTTACAAAGAAAGAGTCAAACCTTTCAATTGCAGACATATGACTCTGAGTGTATATGTCTGTATACACACTGTATGTATAACGATGTATACTTATGTGTTTGTGTGTGTATATCTATCCATCTAAGTTATAGCGTGTGTACATAGGCTTGCCTCTGCTTTATTTAAAATTTTCAGTGTATAATTCTAATTTCATGAGCACTTATCTCAAGTTCTATACAAATTTCCATTTTAAAATTTCTGGAACTGGTTAGTTTTCAATGGAAATAAGTTCTTTAAGAGGCGATCCAGTAATTCCCATTCAATCAAGACTGAACATTCCTACAGACTATTTATCCAAATGCCAAAGCCTATATGCAAGCTCTATAGTGCATTAATAGATAAATTGCATTTACTATTTCCCTTCAGTTAAAAATAGCAATATCCTTTCTGTTACATTAGGTTTAAAAATCGTATCTAAATTGCAGCTTTAGAGTTCTGATTATACAGGTATGGAGGACAGAACCTTTTTTAAAATTACTACAGATGAACTGTTTCTCTTCTAAATACCCCGAGATACCATATAGACGGACCAATTTTATATTATTTTTTCCTGGTGGTGACTATCTAACTGTCTACGTGATTATGTTTCTTATAGTTTAAAATTATTTGTGATGCAAACTATATCAAATTAATAATTTCAATACCCTGATTATCAGAATTTAAAATAAACTCGCCATAAAAGGGGAAAAAAGAAAGGAGAACATATTGAGTGTGTTAGTCAGAAACCTGCCTGAAAATAACGTTATTTATTATGTATTATTATTTTAACTCTAGGTGTCTTTCAGTCTCCTAATGCTCCTTTAATCCTGCAGCAAGCAATTTTCGGAATACATAGGGTGTTTAAGAATCTGCCGTATTATATTACATTCTGTCTATGTATATAAGTGTGAGCAATCAAAAATGAAACACGCTGCAGCTTCAGTACCCAAATTCTAACACAAACATCCAGGACTCCTGGAGTTAAGATTATTTTTCTTACTGGAAAAAGGAAGTTCTGCAATCACATTTCACTCCAGTTGATTCAATAATAAATACAAATGACGTGGAGTTCCGTCTTTCAGTAATAGACTTGTTTTTCTATTGCGGTATGTCAGTACACGCATGAAAAAAAAAGCTATAATGAGTACATAGAACTTTATTTGCATTAAAAATGTTGTAAAAGAACGGATTGCCATTCGCTTGGGCAATCTCTTAGTTTTTTTTTTTTTTTTTTTTTAGGTTTTCTGACTAATGTATTAAATAATAGTTTCATGTAGCTTTTGTGATTTCAAATCAGGATAGAAACTGTTGTTAAAAATTACATCTCTGTAAGCTTTCTGGTGTAGTTGTTGGGAAAAGTTGAAAAGAAACAAAAACAGAGCGCGCGCGAGAGACCAAATAGTGATGTAAAACTAATGAGAAACATATTTTTGCATGCAGAATATTCACACATGAATTTAATTATTACGCAGTTGCTCTGCCGTTTGCTGGTCTCTATGCTGAATAATATTTTTCAAATGCAGTTGACAGAGATGTTTTCACCCTCCCATTGGTCTCTTTTTCCTTGCAACAACAGGAAATAAGCAGCACACACATAAACAGAAGAAGATAATTAAATCAATTGTCATACTTTCAAATGTTTCAGCCATTAGTTTAATTCATAACACTGGACTTGATCTGGGAGCCTTATCACTTTTTTTTTTGTATAGGACTGTAACCCTCCGCTTAGTTTTGATGCTGTAGTCTGTGCACAGAAGTCAAAGAACGTGCCAGCAAATACCTAGATTTGCACATAAATTTGATTAATCAGAATGTGATACAACATAATGCAAGTGCCCTTTTTACAGTACAGCTGAGAAAAAGGGTGCCTTTCGGCGATGAGGAAGAGAATGTTTTTCCCCCCTGCTGCTTTGGTGCATATTTAAGAATTAATCGTCTTGATAAACACTCCTCCCCCTCCTCCCCTTTCTCCTCTCTTCCTCTCTTGTTCTGGTTTAGCTCCGTTCTAGATATAATATTAGCTACATTTCAGGAAGGCAGGTCTAAAAAGCTCTTCTGTGCAAACAGACGTAAAAGTGGAAATAAATTCAAACAGCTGAAATACATTCAAACAATTTGGTGGAGAAATCAACCACTGTATTTGTTCTATTAAAGTCGATTTTACTTCACTCGCTTTAATTATACTTTTCCTGTGATAATTGTGTGTGTGTGTGTGTCTGAGGTGTTTTAATATAATGTAATTGGCAATGTTCCAGGAGTGCATATTCGTTCAAATTTCCTTTCACACCTTCTATTAAAAGATAGTTTCGAAACCCGGTAAATTTACAAGGAACACAGTGTTTACAGTATAATTCAAATGCATCGATTAATTCTTGTGTAGCTGGTTAAATTAATTTTTTGGAGATTCTTATTGTGGTTTTGAATCTGGTGCATTCGGGATTTCGAACTGGAGTGTGTTGTCTTTAAATGTGAAAAAAAAGTTGTTCAGAAAAGTCCAAGATCCAAGACTAGTTAGTGGTGTCTATACACATACAAATTTAAATATCGATTTAAAATATTTCTATATTCCTCCTCTGGTCTGTGTGGTAAGGAGCTACTCTGTAGATTAGTTTCGGTAAGAGACTGTGATGAATTTGACTTTTCATTGCCAGCTCCAGTTAGCTCGGAACTAAACGGAACAGTATTATTTACAGTTAGTTCCCAAACTAAACACAATAGTATAATTTAACCTTTCCAAGCTCTCGTAAATTTTTACTGCTGTGAAACACAGCGATGCAAATGAATATGCTCATAGTTACTGACTTAATAACATGCCTGTGGCTCCTGAAACAATAACTCCTTATGAAATATAATAAATATATATTTAAATACAGTATACCGCAACTGCTATTTTGCTTTTTTATTACTTCAATTACT